CAGGCTGGTCTTGAACTCCCGACCTCAGGTGATCCACCCACCTTGGCCTCCAAAGTGCTTGGATCACAGGTGTGAGCCACCACGCCCAGCCCAGGGTGCAACATTCTGGTGGCCAGACAGAACTTTCAACTCTCAGAAGAACAAATGCCTTTAGGCATATGGTAAGATGGAGAAAATATTTATTGTTAAACGAAAAACAAAGTTACAAAACAGTGAGCATTAATGTATCATGCAGTTAAAAAAAAGAAAGAAAAGAAAATGCTGGGCACAGTGGTTCACGCCTGTAATCCCAGCACTTTGGGAGGCTGAGGCAGGAGGGTCAGTTGAGGCCAGGAGTTTGACCCAGACTGGACAATACAGTGAGATCCCGTCTCTACAAAAGATTTAAAGCAATGAGTTGGGCATGGTGGTGCACACTTGTAGTTCTAGCCATTTAGGAGGCTGAGGTGAGAAGGTTGCTTGAGCCCAGGAGTTCACAGTTACAGTGAGCTATGATCATGCCACTGCATTCCAGCCTGGGTCACAAAGCAAGACCCTGTCTCTGAAAATAGTAATGATACACAAATGTTAACATTTGCATTGATAAAATATCAAGGCTGGTTGGGGGTATGGAGTGCTACACTAAAGGATTAAAACACTGATATTCTCTGTGGTACAGAGAGGACTACTTGGAGCTTTCATATGTTTCTGAATATATGGTCTGAGCTTTCTATAATGAAATTCTATAATTAATTTATGATTTGAATGTTCGAAAAGGAACATGCGTTAGTCCTATAAATCCTAAAACAAACATATTTTGTAAGCAGTGGTTTCAGCTTGCATCACAGGTTCCCATTCAACACAGTCCATTTAAGCAGCACACACTGCATTTACCGGTGGACCAGGCCCTGGGCTGTGTGAAGAGGCAGCTGCTATTTTGGAGAAGGGCAGAGGATGTGGAGGCAGGGAGATAACCCGCTGTGTGGCCCCACCTACCTGCTCTGAGCCTCTCTTTCCTCTCAAACACAGATGTGACAGCATTTGTGAGATGCCAATGAAGGAACAGACGGGGAGGTTCTGGGCATGTGGGCATTGCTGGGCATCGTCTCACACGAGCCCAGAACAGCTCCATAAGATGACTATCTCCATTTTACAGAGGAGAAACCTGAGGCTTGGGGAGGTGGACTGGAAAGCCCAGATCACACTGAGATCAGGTGTCAGTGTCAGGATGCAAATGCTGGGTGTGTGAGTCTCAGGTCAGACACCCCCAACTTAGCCCTGTCTGTCCTGCCATTTGTTCAGCCCCTCCTGTTTCCAGATGGGGCGTCGCTGTCTAGCACACCCGACAGTTACCTTTTGGGATCATGTATGTGTTTCTCCCACCACAAAGCTGTCTCCCTGAGGGCAGGTACTTTACTTTTTTCATAGCTATATCCCCAGCAACTAGAACTGTGCCTGGCCCACGGTAGGTGCTACATAGCTATTTGTTGATTGAATGAATGAATGGATGGGATATGAAAGAAGTCCCTAGTAAAGAACCAAAGGAAGTGGCCCTGGGGAGATGGTAACACCCTTCCAGGTCACATGGCTGGCAAGGGCAGAGCAGGACCCGGGCCAGGTCCTGAATTCCCACTCAGTCCTGCTTCTCCCAAACCCAGAAGGCTCAGTTCATCAACACTCGTGTCCACGACCACCAGAGACCATGGGAACAAATCTGTCTGGTGCAGGAAGGGATCAGGATGAAAGAGAAGCTGCCTGCATTCTGATCTTGGCTGGACTTCTGCCTGCTAGTCCTGCTTATGCCTCAGTTTCTCAATCTGGAACATGGGCACCTGCCTCTCTGCTGATGTGGGCGGAGGAGGATTCGGGAGGAATGCGCAGAGGTGGTCCTTCCTGCCATCCCTCCTCCCTCAGGAGGGGCCGGGCCGGCCTGAGACACTGGGGCCAGGGCATGGGCGGTGTTGTGAGAAGACGCCTCTGCCACAGAGCCGCAGGGTCAGGGGTGGGAGGCACCTTGCCTTTCTGATGCCATCACTGTAGAATGGACAAGAAAGCAGAGGCCCAGGGAAGGGAAGGGCCGCGGCCCAGGACACGCAGGACTTAATGGTGGGCCCAGGCAGCACAAGAACCTGGGTCCTGCCTCCCAGATCAGGGCTCTCCCCTCCCTGAGCACAGAGAGACCAGGGACAGAATCCATCTGCTCCGTCACTGTCCTGCCCAAGAGAGCCCAGGTCTACAGGCTGATATGGACAACAGGCCAGGCAGGGCCCCGGCTCTGCCCCCAGCCCTGGCCTCCCAATGCAGGCTCTGAACATCAGGACGCAGGCTTGACTTCCTAAAGCACCGGCTTTGCACAGAGGCCTGAGCCATGGTGGGAGCCTGTGACAGCCCCACTCTCTGGGTCCCACAGGCTGCCATCAACAGTTGGGGCCTAGGGGTACCACACCTGGCTTTTCAGGAGCCAGATGAGGCTGATAGGAGAGATGGAGCAGGAAGGAGCAGGTGTGGGAGCCTGGGTGTGGGCAGTGACACCCCAGCGACCCTGCTATTAGATCCCGTGGTGGCCTCTGGGGCCACCGACCTTCAGGGGCCTCCAAACACGGAGAGCATCCTGGTATGTGTCTACCCCCACCCTGCCACAGCCTCAGTAGTTGCCAGTTAAAGCTACTCTGAGAGAATTCCACTAGTGCAATTAGCACATCAGAATAAAGAAGGCCCTTCTGACAGCTGGCTGTGCCCACCCACAGCCTGGGCTTCCACTAACAACGACCTGCCTGTTAATCCCGCAGTCCTGGAGGGCCCGGGTCTTAATGAAACACGCAGAGCTGATGTGGGAAGAGGCTGGGCTTTGGAATCCACAGCTGTGGATTCACCCCAGATGTGCTGTGTGGCCCTGGGCTGGCCATTTAACCTCCCTGAGCCCATGGGCTGGCAAACAGTCTCACATGAATGAAATGAGGAATCCTAAGCCTGTGAAAGTTCACGTGCTAGTTTTCATTCTAAAAACAGGTTCACGTGCTAATTTTCATTCTAAAAAAAAGCCACACCTTTTGTCTGGCTTTTAGAATCCGTTTCTAGGTTTCACATGTGTACAAGACGTGTGGAGATGTTCCTGTCACCTCGGAACCAGGTCATGGCTGGGAGGGCCTGGGGCCAGCAGAGGCCAGGTCCAGGTTCACCATCTGAGGGGAGAGGAACAGGCTTTCTACTCCTCCCCCTCTATCAACCAATCACACAACAACCTTGAGGACAGATCACCAGGCACCTCATTTTCCAAGGAGCAACCAAGGCTCAGAGAGGGTGAGGAACTTCCCTAACATCACACAGCAGGACTAGCCCCTGCCCAATTCATAGCACACCCCCCACCAGGCTGTGCATGCCTTGACCCAGGGGATGCCAGGGGAGGTAGGATGTGGGCTGGGTGATGACTCATTCTGATGGGCGGCTCCTGAGGGGACATTCTTGGGCGACTCCATCCACAAGTCTTCTTGGTCCTGTGCCCAGGGCCAGCCTGTCCTGATGACAGAGCCCCAGCCCCAGTTTCACAGATGGTCTCCTCTGTCCCACGTCCCCACCCTGTCCTCTAACTAGGAAGGTGGCATCCAGATCCCATGGGCCAGAGTCCTGTGCCTGGCACTGGGCGCTCAGTGATGGTGGATGGCTGCCTCCTGCTGCCTGACCCCCACCTCAGCCCACCACCAGCTCTGGGTGGCGGGGAGCAGAGGCTCAACCACGCCCTCTTCTGCCCTAGTGTAGGAAGCAAATGGCTGAGGGCCCCACAAAACCTGCTGCTGCTCAGTGCTCTGGGTTATTTGGACCAGACTCCTCAGAAAGCTCTCTGCACCCTGAAAACCTGACCTGACAACAGAAATGTCATCTCTTTGAGCACTGGATGGACAGTCAGGCTTCCTGGGTCTGTCCTGGCTCAGCCCCATAGAGGCTGTGCTATCCTAGGCATGGCACTGCCTCTCTGAGTCTCACTGTCCTCATCTGGGAGATGGGGATGCAGATCCTGGCTGTTACCAGGGTAGCTGTGAGGATGGAGAATGAAAGATGCTGTCGGTGGAGGGAGGCTGGAGACACCGGCAGGGACCTTCTCCCTGCTCTCAGCCCCACAGCTCCCCCACCTCGGGCTGAGCTGTTGTCCTTAGCTCCCCACAGCCCGGCTTGTCACTTGCCACAGACAGGAGGCAAGGCAGATGGGGGACCTGACCAACAGTCGCTACACGACCACAGACCAAAGAGTTTAGCACTGCAAAAAAAATCTCTGAGCTTTTAAGGACTAAATAGCTCCAGGGTTTGATAGAAGATGTTGGCAGACAGGAAAAGCCAGGCTTTGCCTGGGAGAACAAAGTGGGTCCAGCTGCCCACTGGGCCATCCCACAGGCCCAGACACTCACCCCACGCCAGGCCACGTCCCAGAGGCTGGGCCCAGGGTGACAAGGCCACAGTCCCTGCCCCACCGAGCTGGGTCTGCTCCTTTCCCAGCCGCTCCCCTGACAGCCGCACCCCACCCAGGCTCCGCACAGGAAGAGCCTGCTGTGGACTCAGGGCACCGGGTCAGCTCTGGTCACTCTGATGATGTGACCACAGGTTTCCACGCTGAACTTTGGCCCTCTCCTCAGTACTGCCCTTATCACAGTGACAGCATCCTGGCCTTGTTTACTCACCTGTCTCCCCAGGACCAGGCTGTCTTCCCCGGGCTGCCCAGGTGGGCAAGACCATCACCTGATTCTTACTGCCTTCACCTGGGTGCGTTTGGGGCCGGTGAAGGCAGGGTGAAGGACTCCTCTGGGAGTCCACAGTTCCCCCCACCCCGCTCCTGACCACCCCGCAGCCCAGAGTGCCCCAGGACCCTTAGACCTTCCCTGGCCACGGCGGTCGCACTCCCCTGGGGGTCGCGTCCACCGCCTGTGACTCCCGGTTCGGCCAGGGCCCAGCACCGCCCGCGGACGCACGCACTCTCCCCTGCAGCCAGCTCACTCCGAGGGTCCCCGCGGAGCGCGGGCGGCCGCACTCACCCATGTTGACGAAGCTCATGACCAGGTCGGCGCGGCCCAGGCGCCGCTCCGGGGGCGCGCCGTCCTCGTCGCCGTCGCTGGCCATGGCGTGGTACAGGTCCAGCATGAAGAGCGGCGCGGACGCCGGCAGCCGGGAAGCGGCGGGTGGCGCGCGGGGCCGGGGCCGCCCGGGCAGCCCGAGCACAGCCAGGATCTCGCGCTGAACGTCCCGGCGCTCGCGGGCGCCCAGACGCCGCTGGGAACAGCCGGGAGGGAGTCGTGGGCCGGGGCCGCCCCCGCTCAGCGCGCACAGCGCCAGGCCCAAGAGCCAGAGCGGGCGGGGGCGCGCGGCCATGGTGGGCCGGGGGTGCTCAGCGGGCGCGCATCGGCTCCGCGGCCGCCCCTGGGCCCGGGGACGCCCCGACGGCGAGCGGGGTGCTGGGCTCGGCGGTCAGTGGGACCCGGCGGGCGGCGTCTGCAGACTCAGCGCGGTCCCCGGAGCGCCTCCCGCGCGGCACCTGCCCAGGCTCCCGGCCGAGCGGACGCGGACGCCAGCGCCTCGAGGCCGGGGCTACTCCGCTGGCTGGGACTGTCCGCCAATCCGTCTGTTGCCGCCGTGCCCGCCTGTCCGGCTGTGGCCGCGGTCCGTGCAGCGCAGGGGCGACGCGCGACGGGCGAGCTCAGGCAGCGACCCGGGCGGTGAGATTCCCGCGAGTCCCTGCCCCGGCCCAGCCGTCGGTGCCGCCCGCCCCCCCCGGCCCGACCAATGGGGGCGCGGGGGCGGGGCCAGGGCGCGGAGGCCACGCCCGCGAGGGGACCAGTGGCGGCGGCCCGTGTCGCGGGTGGGGCGACCACGAGGTGCGACCTGGGCGTGGCAGGTGGGCGGCCCCGGCGAGGGGTCCGCAGCAAGGGCGTCAGCGAGATCAGGGCCGTCGTGGCTCTGATCGCGGGCCTCGGCGCAGAGATCCTAGGGCTGCGGCGCCGTGCCCGGAAAGCAGGACCCGAGTCCTAGGTCCCGCCAGTGGTGACACCCGGCCGCCCCGCCGTGGTATGCGGAGGTCGCTGTGGACTCCAGGAGCTGCCTTCACCTTGCCCCATACGCGCCCAGGAGTAAAAATCAGATGATGTCCTTGCCCACCTGAGCTGCCCCAAGAAGACAGCCTGGTCCTGGGGAGACAGATGAGTAAACAGAAGCTGGGATGCTGCCACAGCCCTGGAGGGCCGGGCGGTGCCAGCCAAGCCCCGAGGATGGGGCACGTTCCTCTGCCTGCAGCAGCCGGCCCTAGTTCTGGCCACTGAGGCCCCTCGCCGCCTCTCGGTGCTTTCGCCGCGGCCCCTGCGTGCGCTGCGGCGGGCATCTACTTCCCGCTCCCCCCACCTGGCTCCCGCATGCACCGGGCAGCCCCCGAGGCGGGCCGCCCCCGCCAGCACTCGCTGCATGTCCCTGCGCCCCCGGTACTGATCCAGCTTCGCGGAGGAGACTTGGCCTCCTGCCTCCAGCCGGGCCAGGAGCTCTGGGGCCCTTCCCGAGCACCCAGGAGCCACCCGTCCACATCTTCTCAGCGCCACAGCCCCCGTGCAGACCTGGCAGGAGGATCCCCGCGGAAACGCCTGGACTGACTCAGCCCCTTTCTGCACACCCTGCTCTTCCCTGGGCGCGCTCTCTCCTTATTTATTCATGTGTGGTTCAGGCGCTGCGGAAGGGGAAGGCACCTAGTCTGCCGGGAGAAGGCTGCTGGAGTTGACCTGGAGCGCCAGGAAAGGTCAGTGGAGGAAAGTGCTCCAGGCAGAGGGAAGAGCTTGTGCCAAGGCCCTGAAACCCCGGGCCGGGGAGCCTAATAATGGCAGGTAACAGTCAGCACTTGCCACGCGCCAAGGGATGTTCTGAGTGCGTGTCCCATGTCATTTCTGTGATGCTCGCATATTGTTAGGGGATACATACCATTGGAACCTCCTCTTTTAACAAATGAGGAAACTGAGATACACAGCGGTTAAGGGACTTATGCCAGGTCACACAGCAGTGGAGCTGGGCTGGGGCAGGTGGGCAGCTGCTCAGTGGAGCCTGGAGAGCCCAGGGGGCAAATGGCCGAGGCTGGAGGGGCTGGCAAGGGAGGGACTGCAAAGGGCCTCAGGGGCTACAGGAGGGCCCTAAGCACCGGAGATTATGTTGCCCCCCATGTGGATTGAAGATTAAACCTCCAAGCAAGTGTATAATGCCCCCAAAATCACATTTTGAAGTCATCGCTTCAATAAAATTTTCTCTATTAAATAAATTATTAATGTAAATAGTCATTTGCTGATGTCTTAAGCACATGCTTACTCTGTCTTTTACCAAAGAGGTAAATTTCTGCAAGGCCAGGTAAATAATAAAAGGAAATGAAATAAAATTATTATTATACCATTCAGAGCACTAAAAGAACCCACTTTTTCCTGATTACAAAGGTAACTTGCTTATTGTAGAAACTTTTGAAAATATAAAAAGATAAAAATTCACCCCGAAAAACTTTAAAAATCACCCAAATCCCTGTTTCCAGAGATAACCACTGGTAATATTTGATGCATCTTTTTCTTACATGTGTGTGTATATTTTTAATACAAAAAATAGTATCTTACTTGCTTTATTCACTTCATGTTATATTGCAATATTTTACTATGGCATTAATTATTTCACACTTTTTTTTTTACTGGTTTCTTGGTATTTCTTCATCATAATTTATTTAATCAAGCTTATGTTATGAGATATTTTTATATTTTTACATTATATACAATGCTGTTTGAACAATCTTATAGAATAATCTGTGTGCATTCATGATGATTTCATTAGGATGAATTTCTAGAGATGGATTTTTTTTTTTTTTTTTTTTTAGATGGAGTCTCAGTCTGTCGCCCAGGCTGGAGTGCAATGGTGCGATCTTGGCTCACTGCAGCCTCTGCCTCCCGGGTTCAAGTGGTCTTTGTGCCTCAGCCCTCTGAGTAGCTGGGATGACAGGTGTGCACCACCACGCCTGGCTAATTTTTGCATTTTTAGTACAGACACGGTTTTGCCATGTTGGACAGGCTGGTCTCGAACTCCTGGGCTCAGGTGATTTGAGTGTCCCAAAGTGCTGAGATTACAGGCATGTAGGTATGAAAGATTTGAATCAAAGAACATATACACTTTTTATGATTTTTGATACATATTATCTGTTGCTCCAATACCATGAGGGTGCTTATTTTCTTTCACCCTTACTAACACTAGCTCTAACTGTTAAATACATAAATAAACAAATCTCTGCTGATTTGATAGATTAAAACATTTCTCTGCTGTTGTAACTTTTGTGTGGAGGGTCACTACACACTGCTCTCTTGTTTTGGCAACACTCTCCTCCCCTGGCTTCAAGGATGCCTGCTCCCTTGCTGACCACTCCTCCCTGCCCACTTCTTAAGCATGGATGTTTCCCTGGGTCTGTCTACAGTCCTGTTCTCCCTTAGACTCGACCCGGTGATGAGTTCATCCACTGAGGCTTCAGTGCCGCCATACAGTCACCCAACTCCAAATATATTAGCAGAGCAAGCCTTCCTGCTGGATACCAGAAGCTATACCCAACGACTGATGAGACACGACCAGAGCCAGAAACCAAAACCCTGGCACGGACGTAGGTCCCTTCCTCCCAAAGGCAGTTCAGTCTATTGATTCTACCTTGGAATGCTTCTTGAATCCCTGAGCCTGTGCACGCCCCCTTATACTCAGGTGTTTCATGGAGCACCTCCTCCCCACTGGTCTCCTTGTTTCTCATCTCACCACCCACCCAGCCTTCATTCATTCTGCAGAATGCATTTCCAAATGAAAATCTGAGTCCTTTCATGACCTTTCATTGCTTATAGCAGAATCTCCCCAGGTGAGGCTTCTGAGGGCTTTCCTACAGCAGGGGTTCAGTATACACTGCTCTCTGTTATTTCCCTGTTGGGAGATCCCTCAAGCACTTAGCATTTTGTAAGCTCTGAGAAGTCCTCCAGTTAAAAAAAAAAAAAAAAATCTGTTTAGCCTTAACTTGGCTTCTTCCAAATGCACGTGACTATGACTTTTTAGTTTTTGAGGAACACATCTTGGGGACCAGCAAGGCACAATGTGATAAGTGTCCAGGACTCAGTGGTCTGGTCCCTGCTGCTGACTCATCTCCACGGTCTTGTCTGGCCACTAACCTCATATTCTTTGCTGCAGTCTGATGGGAATACTTCTGGTCCCCCTACCTGTCCTGCTGTTGACACTTCTGTTCACGTGAACATGTGGTTTCCTCTACCAGGAAGGGAAATCCCTTTGCCCGTCTGCTCAGGTGTTACCTCCCTTTAAGATGCAGCTGAAGCAACACCTTCTTTTCCTGATGCCCTCTCCACCTTCATGGGCAGTCATTTCTTCCTTTCCTCACTCTCTCAACCACTTCTTTTACCAATAGAAGGGCCATCATATTAATTTGCCTTTGGATCCCAGTGCCAGGCTTGCATTTAGGGTTTCAGTAAGTATCTGTGAAACAGAGTAGCCTCTATTTGTCTGAAATAGCCTCTGAAAAGTATAGCCTCTTAACAGTTTCAAGGAATGGATCTCACAACCTTCACAAATTCACTAAGAAGTGCTCATAATTTCGCAGGGATGAAGAACAGAAGCACCAAGCTGTGTTGAAGGAGGGGTCAGTGGCCGGCAAGGCTCACTCTCTCACTGTGTGATGAGCTCTCTTGCATACCAGCCCCAAATGCAAATTCATGAGGAGAATCACTTGAATCTGAAAGGTGGAGGTTGCAGTGAACTGAGATCATGCCACTGCACTCCAGTCTGGTTGTCAGAGTGAGACCCTCTCAAAAAAAGAAGGAAAGAAAGAAAAGAGAGAGAGAGAGAGAGAGGAAGGAAGGAAGGAAGGAAATAAGGAAGGAAGGAAGGAAGGAAGGGAAGAAAAGAAAAGAGAAACATGATACAGGAATGGAGATTATCTCATGTTAACAGACAGCGACACATTTAACCTTTGCATTGGTGATCTCAGGCCCTGTTTAATTCTATCACTATCTACAGTGAGGTCCTAAGTCATGACTGTGTCAGCCTCAGAGGCCACCATGAGGTTAGTGCATTTGTAATGCCTCATTAAATGACTGCTGAGGGCCCAAAGGGTGTCTCATTTGTTTTCCTTGCTGGGTGCACACAGGATGCTGGGAAAATTCAGTACATCGTGTTCCAGGGTGTGCTTACACATCATAAAGAAACACATAAATGTAACGAGACAGTCCTGTCTTCATGGGGGAGTCTTCAGTCAATGGATCAAGTCACCTTCTGTTAGTGGACTATGCTCCAATTAAAAGTCAGAAATAGGCTGGGCATGGTGGCTCATGCCTGTAATCCCAGCACTTTGGGAGGCCAAGGGGTATGGATCACCTGAAGTCAGGGTTCG